ATTTAGACACAATTAACTGAAAATAAGCTGCAAATAATGCTCCTCAAAATGGCTGTTCTCCAAGAGCTTCTGGCACAAGAGCCTATACTGTTATGTTTAAAACACTATGACAAGCATCAGGCTTATTGCAACAGCCAAGTTTTGTTTGTTTGTTTTTTAATGTAAAAGGAAGCAGTATGTGATTATTTTTTCACATCAAAATTAGTCTCTGAGTTCCTTTCCATGTTACCCTAGTTATGTGTGTGTGTGGGGAGGGGGAATCACTTTTTCATAACCAGATTATTGATCAAGCCATACAGGTCTTTCTACCTGGTGTGATGTCCTTCCTGTGATTTAAACTTGATGGGGCCATTTAAACATTTTACAGCCCAGATGGAATTTGTAGGTATTTTGTTTTGTGTGTGAGGGAGGGGTAGAATGAGAAGGTGGGATGGACTAGGGAGATTGAAATCTGTTGTGTATGGCATCCTGAGTCCCTTGGAAGCAGATTGGATGAAAGGGCCATAAATGTTATAATGCACAAAAGATAAACTGTATGATGTCCTTTCCTAAAAGCATGCAGCTGTCACCCAAGATTTACACATCCTTAGTTTCTCAAATCTCATGGTTAAAAGCATGGCCAGGACAACAAAAAGCCCTCAAGGGAAAACAACATTGGCCTCTGAGGGTATGGCTGCATCAGTCTGCCCTCCCTTCACATCTAAGAAAGCCAAAAATCACTGCTTCAGTCGACTTAAATGGGCACTACAGAAAGCATAGATGAACCGATAGAAAAGTGCTCTTCATATCTGCAGAAAATTTAACTATAAATTAAGCATGAAATTAAACATTTCACTCTGGTGATCTCACCACAAGAGCAAAGTAGAGAGATGATTTACATTTACAATGATTACCAGCCAGGTTTTACATATCCATTAAAGGAGAGTTTATGATACCAGTCTTGAGTCCAATCTTGCCAGATCTGAAAAATGAATATGGAATAAAGGTTTGTAAGATCTGAACAGAGCTATTAATTATAGGACCTCTTGGAGCTCAAGAATTCATAAAGCAGAAATGACCTGATAAGAAAGAACAAGAGTACCCAATGTATATCTGAGCTCATCTCACAAAGCATGTCTTCCTTATGTGACAGAGAAGTTCAACACCACCTACCAATGGCCGTTTCTATTGTAAGTGTAAGTGTGTTTAATAATAATAATAATAATAATAATAATAATAATAATAATAATAATAATAATAATAATAATAAAATCATCATCACATTTTGTCTAGTCAAGTTCAACTCTGACAACCCTTTCCAAGGTCTTCAAGGTATAGAGTACTTAGAAGTGGTTTAACACACCCTTTTGGGGGCAGCCTGGGACTACAGCTCACCCAAGGCTACACAGGCTGGATGCTCTCCTAGAAGGCACAGTGGGGAATCCAGGTACTGTAATCAGCTTATTGTGCTACCCAGCTATCTAAGGGTCTTTTACTATAGGTAACAGCGCACAATCACACTAAAGTGAATAATCCATTAATCTTTTCTCTCTCTCCAGGAAACAATGTAGAAGGAGAATTAGAAGTTTATAACCTGAATATCCAAAACTCTGCTGGTGGAAATAAATGCTGAGGGAGCTTCTATTTTCTCTCCTTTGCAAGCCACCTTAGTTTATATGTTCCTGAATATTGGGGGCAGATCTAGACCTGAGATAAAGCAACAAATGAGAAAAACATGCAACAGGATTACAAGCCTGGTTGTATTTAACAAAGAGTCTTACAACACTCTCAAGACAAGTCATTATGGTAGAAGCTTTAGTGCTGTTGTAGGCAACCCATAGGCTTCCAGATGTCCCAAAACATCTGGAAGGACACAAATTACCCACCTCAGATCCAAGAGGCTGGAGCCCTTTTCAACAGATGCATGATTTTTTTTTTGTCCCTAGCAGAAGCAAGAAATTGCTAGCCCTCCAAATACTGTTGGATTCCAACTCCCATTAGACTCAACTTAGTAGAGTCAATAGTCAATAGATGGCAGACACTGAAGTTCAATAAGCTTCCACCCCGCTCTCAGGCTAGCTTGTAGCGTCTGAAATCTAAGTGCAAGGTGTTATTGACAGATGGAGAGAGGTTATCTTTCACAGAACCTCTTGCCTTCCTCCAGGGCCCACCTAGATTCTAAAACAGGGAAAAGGAAAGTAGAGCCAAATCTGTACACCCCCTTCAATACTACAGCAGAGAAGTCCATTTAAGTGATGGCAGGCGGGCCTTGAGTGGAATTCTGTACAATTGCAGCCACTTGTGATTGCTCAGTGAAGCCTTGGCTTTCAGCTTGTAAAAGCCACTAGCAACCTCCGGAGCTGTGCTTTGGGGTGAATGGTCTCATGGAGATATGAGCATATCTCCAAATGTTTCTGAACTGCAACTCCCATCAGCCCTAACTAGCATAGCCAAAAGTGTGAGGTTGGATGCAAACTGCAATCCATTTTCACCTGGAGGGCCACACATTATCCACCGTGAACTTCTGTAGAGGTCCAGTTGATGCACAAGAAGTCAGTCAGCTATGAACAGCACTGACAGATCAAGTTGGTTGTAGATGTAGGTATGAACAGGGACGGGGGGGGGGTTGTTAGTGAAACAAAACTAGGGCTTTGAAAAAGTTACTTTCTCATTCATCAGCAAATTCAGGGAGTTGTAATTCAATTTTTTTCCTCAGCTGCAAAGACCGGATCATTTCTGCAAAAATAGTGTCTGTTAAAGAAATAAACCTGTGTAGTGCCTTAAAGATTAGTACTCTACATTTGTTGTGACATATACTTTTGTGATCTGAAATCCAATTCGTCAGCTGCAAAGATATACATGTGGTTGTTTAACTCAGGGGTGGGCAACTGGGGCCTTCCAGGTTTTATTTGGGTTTTTGCCTGCAGCTCTCATCGGCCTTAGCTAGCATAGCCAAGGGTAAGGCACACTGGAGAGGTAGTCAAACATATGATGGGCCATCAGCTGCTCTTAGTTATGGCATGTGATACAGGTGTGCCTTATATTATCCACCAGTTTCCTGAAAGAATAACTTTGTTCTGGGTTGATAGTATTTGAGACACTCCTGCCATCTGGTGGTGAATGTATTCTTTACTTATTTTATTTTTATTTCTTTATAACGTTTATTTGAACAGATGGGGGAGTTGATAGATTTTGTTTGGTCACATACACTTTAACCTTTTTTTTCATATGCAAACTAACTCAATTCCTTAGCGTGCATCCTGGTAGGGTGGATTTGATTTAAATCAATTAAACCACAATTTAAAATTGACTTTTGAAGAGATTTAAATCACAATTTAAATGTTAATAATCAGATTTTGATGAATTAAATAAGAAAGTGTTTTTTAAAAATTTAAAGTGTGATTTAAAACAATTTGATTTTTAAAAACCATTAATTTTTTTAAAATCTACTTTGCCTTCTGGGAGAAGAGCCAGCTGGTGCATCCTTGGGCAAGCTGCAGAGTCCCAGGGCATCCCCAGAAGGAAAAAAAGTAAATCATTTCTGAGTAACTTTCTACCTGGAATACCCTGTAAAGGGTTGCCATAAGTCAAAGTTAACTTGAGGACACATAATAATGATTCTTCTTCTTCACAGAGTAACTCCACAGAGTCATTTTCAAATAATTCTTTCCATTACTTACTAAGAGCACCAAGGAACTGTTTGAACTTAGAGGAGACAAGCCTGGGAACAAACTTTATACTACATTGCCAACAAAAGCAACTTCACAAGAAATGTCCCCTGTCCCTGGCTGGGGCATCTGTGGTTTTTATATACAGTAACTACATAACAAGTAATCCTTCTACAGTTAGAAGTTTCCACAGCATGCTTCATGGGTTGGATTTCTGGCCATCCCAGAGAAAAGTGACAGCATTATACTGTGAAGATGGATGTGGCCGAGTGATGAGAGATCACATCCAGCTTTAGCATGGGACAGTCTCATCCTGCCAGATGTTTAAGGCTTCAACACCCAAAATCCCTGCCATTGGTCATACTTTGTGCAGCTTTGGGAAGCTGAAGTCCAAACCAGCTAGAAGATCCAAGATCAAGCACTACTGTGCTGTCTTAGGGTGTAATCAGACAGCTGCAAAGGTGTGCACCTAACTGCAGCAGACAGGCTCATTTTTCATGGGACCCATCTGCCTTCAAGTGGACCCCTCTGCCTGCCTGGGAATCATTCAAAAAGGTCCAGGTTAGGCTCCAATCGGGGTCATGTCATTACCAGGAAACAGATCAGGTCAGACTGCTCCACAAGTGGCCCAGATTGCAATCTGTTTCCCCACGTGATCACACCTTCAGTTAGCATCAGGTCCAAAAATGCAGATTTACTGCTCTGCAGCGATGCTCAGCTAGCTAATATATTACACACCATCCAAATGCAATACAATGCTCAACTGCACGAACAAAAAAAATTTGTTATGGTCTATGAAATAATTTCCTTAATCTCCGGAACTCTGTCAGTGCAATCCTATATAGGTCAATTTAAAATTAAGTCCCACTGCCTAAAAGCCAGTAGTAAACCGCCCAATCTCCACGGGTTCAATGGACCAACTCTGGTGGCGATTGACCACTGGATTTCAGCCACGGTGTTGAGCGAAGCCGCTCCCCTCCCAGGGGAAAGAGCCAAACAGTGCAGCTTTCACTTCTGAAGGCGAGAACACGTCACTGCAGCCCTAGGGGTCTAAAAGGGAAAGGCACCCTCCCCACACACACACACCCATGAAGCCGGAAACCGAGCGTCAGGCGTGCTGCCCCCTCTCTAACTCAGCGGATGAAACGGACGCCGGTTTCACCAAATCCAAGCTCCGGAGGAAAGACTGTACAACGCCTTCCCACCACCTTCTCTTCCGGTTCCCAGAAAAGCAACATGACGTGAGGGGCAATGGCCGCATGCAGGACGGGGGAAAGCATTTCCACGCTCTCGTCAAGAGCGTTCTGTTTTGTTCAACTGGGAACCGGAAGTTTTGTGTAATGTTTACGGAACCTCGTCTCTTGAACGCTCGCGTTTCACCACCCCGGAAACGCAAGACTGGTCTGCTTCGCGGCAGCGTCTTCACGACACTGTCGCACCCCCCCAGCTCTCCGGCGACCAACGAGAACGCAGCTTCACCGGAAGCAGCTGCTGAAGAGGACCGACCAGGAAGCTTGCTGGGGAAAGACGGGCACGTGGGGATCGGCCACTGCGAGGTGAGTTTGTGGGAGCGGCTGAATCTGCATCCAGAGGGCAGGGAGACGGGGGGGGGGCTTAGTGTCGGAGGAGCGAACTTCTTACGCTGGTCTTAGGGTGGGCAGCGTCCGGTGAGTCTGTTTCGTGATGCTGCCTTTAAACACCGTTCTGTGCCCACGGAGTGCCCTCAGGTCACAAACCGCCTTGGGGCGGACCCTAGTAGGGTTTTCGAGACTTGTGAGATATTTATGGAGTGGCTTCACCAGTTCTGTCTCTTCCCCACAGAATTTCCATGGCCGACCTGGGATTTGAATCCAAGTCTCTTTTGAGTCCTAATCTGGCACTCCGTTCACTTCAGTGCAATGGCTGATGCTCATGAGCCATATTGATCTCAGTGGGACACTCTCCGAAGCACACACGTAGGAGGGACCTAGGAGCAAATGGCCCTCTAGACTGGGTCTTGGGCTTCAGTTCCCCTCCTTCCTTGTCCTCTTCGGGGCTGGAGGGATTTGCAGTCCAAGGGCAGGGGCCTCCTGGTGTTGTGTTAGACTTTGCCCTCAGCATGAACTTTGCTGCACTTAGGATAGCTATTTGGCCTGATGTGACTTGCCGTCTTCATTGTAAAGATTTTTACTATCAGGTTGGCTGCAGTCAGCTCCATTTGGCATTTTTTTTAATATTTCATATTCGTCTCTTTGACACAATCTGGATATGCAGGAATTGGAAGTATTTGTAAGAGACATGGTAGTGGTGGTTTTAAAGTGTGGTACCAGAATTTTATTTATTTATTTATTTATTTGATTTATACCCCGACTATCTGGGCTACCAGTCCACTCTAGGCAGCTTCCATACAAAAACAGACAATAAAACACAGAAAAATACATGCTGATTCAGTAACAGCTACAATAAAATAAAATAAAAAGTAGGAAAGTAAGAGAAAGAAAAGGAAAAAAAAATAAGAGTTGGCTGGAGGGAAGGCCTGAACCATGTTTTTAATTGTGTTTTAAAGAAGTGAAATATACCATAGTGTTCATTTTGTGAAAGCCCTTTAAAAGGAATAGCTGTTGCTATTAGCTACAAATCTTGTCCCTTTCAGTCCCTCCTGATACAAAAGGTGTTTTTCTTTGAATCGCACCAGTTCCTTGAAACTCTGCCCCCCCCCCATTAACTCTGTTTGCTGTTAGTTTGGTTTAGTATTTCAGTATTCTGTCATTATCGCAGGTGACAGCCACAGAATCTCCTTTTCCTTCATTCAGAGTTTGGAACAGCAAATTTAGCTCATTGGTGTAGAGAAATGCATTTTGTATTTCCTGTTTTGTGCAGTCAAATCTCCTCTGACTCCTAGCACATCATCTCTGTATAGAAGTGCCGGAATAAGAAGGTTGGAAGGCATCCCCCCACCTGTTGCCTAAGAGTATTTACTGAGTTCTTTAAAAGGTTATAACATGATTATATTTATTCAAATGTATTTATTCTAAAGCTTATGGTAGATGAGAACAATTGTTATTCATCTTACAACAACTTTGGTAAACAGCTATTTCACATAGTTCTGAGCTGCAAAAAGTATTCTATCTATTGTTGAAAAGTGAGCAACCCAGGGTAAGAGATGGTAGCTGCACCATGGAAGATTAGAATCTTAGCTAGGTAACTGGGCAGTGAAGATTTTATCAGCAGGACCAGAGTTGACTATTTTCTTATTTTAGACTGAGTGCAGCAAAAATGGTTAGCCAGTTAATAAATGTGTTTGTGGGCTTAGTAACATCACACAGCAATCTTACCGGAAGGATGATCTTAGAAATCAGAAAGCACAGAACTGTTATCCCAAACTGCTCCAGGTTTGTACTAGAACAGAGTGGGGTGGTGGTGCAGCATTTTTCTTTTCCCCTTTTCCTTGGTTTTTTTTTTGGGGGGGGGACATTTATGGCTATGTGTTGCGTCCACCCTGTGTCTTTGGTTTATTTTCCCTTAAACACAAGTCCACCCTCTGGATGCGTTTCCTTACTTCACGCTGCCACCAGGTATTATTCACTCAATACCAAATAGATAGATCTTAGTCACGTGTTGCCAATACAACAGATTTATTGATATTATATATGTTATGCAAATCTCAGGAGAAAATCGCAGATGTTTGGGATTATTCATTAAATATCATTTGCTTTTACGTTGGTTAGTATGTGTATTTATTCACTGTTACAATATCCTCTGACTATTTATTCCCTATGCATTTGAACTCTTTCCTATTATTTGTAACATTCCCACTTTCCAATCTCTGTCATAACTTTCTCAATTCAATCTCTTAACTCTCTCTCTTCAATTCCCTATCTGCAACCCCTTTTCTCCAACTCTCCTCTCTAATTGTCTAACTGTTCTTCTGGTTCCGCCCCTCCTGTCCTCTCATAGGCTCCTGCCCTTGAGCTCCCCATGATGGACAGGCGTGACGTGGGGGTTCCGCCACACTATCCATCCACTTATTGCAAAGAGAAGGAAATAATACATGTGATTGCCAGGATTGTTGTATATTTCCCACAGATCCTGGAGTATATCAGCAATGTCAATGCTATGGACCAATTGTTCCCTAATTTGTTAAAACAAACCAGCAGTACCATCTGACTCCTTTCTCTACCCATGTGAAGAAGCAAGTGTCCTGGAAGTTTGAACCCCCCTCCTCTATTTTTTCCTGGATAACAGTGATCTGGAATATCCATGCCTCCTGGGAGTTTAGTTTTAATGATCTTATTTGTAAGGTGTCAGAAATCCTTTTTAGGAAAGGAGAGAGCTGCATCTGTGGATGGCTCCATTACCTTGGCTGCCAGGCAGTTAAAAATGTAAGAAGCATGTGCAATCTGCATAGTGATACAAGTGTGTGAGATAGTTTTGAAGCATACAGTCTCACCAGTGGACAATGAGATGATAAAATGTGTAGAAGTAGTATGATGATTATGTTGTACATAAATCTGTTACGAGGGTAATACAACATTGTATTCCAGTGCAATTCAGATTATCTATAGTAAATTGCCTTGGCTCTCATTTTTGGGAGAAATGGAGTATACATTGGGCCCTCGACTTACGAACTTAATCCGTTCTGGAATGACGTTCGTACCTCGGAAAGTTCGTAGGTCGAAGTACCATTTCCCATTGAAATGCATGGGAACGGAATTAATCCGTTCCAGCATTAAAAAATAAAAAATAAAAAGAGCAAGTCCCACTTTGGGACACAAAAACCCACAGAAACATAACCCCCCCAGTCCAAATCCACCCTCCAAAACCCACAGAGAATTTTTTTTTTTTTTAAAAAAAGGACTTACCAGTCCGAAGGGTCCGCGCGGCCGAGCGCCCGGCCAGCTCTAGCCTCCCGGAGCTCCCCTGCCTCCGCGCGGCTTGCTTCTCGTTTGGAAAAGCAAGCCGGGCGGCTGGGGAGAAATCATCTCCCTCCTTTCACCTGATGCTGAAGGGGTCTTCAGTTCGAATTTCCCGCCCTTTCTCCCTGCCTTTTGGGTTCGTAACCTGATCTGCATTCGCAAGTAGGGTGTACCACTTGCGATGAGATCGGGTTCATAACCCGAAATGTTCGTAACTAGGGCCATTCATAAGTCGAGGGCCCACTGTAGTATTGAACTAAACTAAAGTAAACTTAAAACTAGTATAACCATATGTTGCTGAAGATATTCCACACATCTCTCAATACAAATTCTTGAGTTTTCCTTTGTGTCATTAGCAATAACAATTACTTGTACTTTGCAGCACTAACCTAATGGAAGCCAAAACTAAAAGGAAATTTGTGAGCAAAGCTGGAAAATCAGGTCCTGGAAAAAAGAAGTTTAAAAAAACCAACGGTAAGAAAAGTGTATATGAGATATTATTTCCATCATTGTTGACCTGTAACTCCCATCATCCCACACCACCAAGACAAATGCTGAGCTTGTTGAATTGATGAAATGTTCGTAACTAGGGCCATAGGTCAGTGGTTCTCAAACTTGGGTCCCAGATGTTCTTGGACTGCAGTTCCCAGAAGCCTTCACCATTCGCTGTGCTGGCCAGGATTTCTGGGAGTTGCAGTCCAGGAATATCTGGAGACTCATGTTTGAGAACCACTGACCTAGGTAATAACTATGTGAATGAGGTGACATCTTGGTGCCTGGAAAAACATGATGAAAACCAGTAGACTCACTCCACAGAACACTGTAGAAAAAGTCTGTTAAATGCTTTGTGTTTCTTATGACGAATGATTATTGTTAACTGGTGGTTCTTTGAGAGTATCCGTGAAGGTTATGGAGAGAGAAAAAACCCACTCTAGTTCACTTAACTGACAAAAAAAAGGAAGGTAGTTTGATACACATCCACAGACCCAACACTATATCATAACTGTTATGTTAACCATACCCACATAAAGACTAGAGCACATAACATAACTTAAAGGTATACATAATTTATAAGAAACTAAAGAAATTTTGATACAGCTGTCAAAGCTGAGTTTGGGGAAAAAAATCTGTGATCCTAATAAATATTACGTTGGTAACTTTTCTCTTTTTTTAAAAATTGAAATCCTCGTCTTTAGAGAAGTTCAGTAGAAAAGATGGTGAAGAAGGCAAGCCCAAATTCAAATCCAAGAAATTTGAGAGAGGAAACAAAAAGCCTGGGAAAATGGGTGCAAAACAATTCAAGAGTAAACAACTATCAGAAAACCTGTCCAGGAAGCGCAAACTTCAGGATGATAAAGAAGGAGGTGAGCATATCATTTTCTCTTTAAAATATATTAGGCAAAGGAGTATAAATGTTCATAGTACAAGAAATACTGTTATGTGCTATTTCCCAGCTCTGCTGAAGTGAGGAGAGACTGAGTATTTCAGGCCATTTGCCCTGCCCTGCTTGTAAAGGAGCTGCTCTCCAAGGGCTGCTGTCAACAAGGGCTCCCTCTTCAGATTGTCCCTTCAGGGAGGAGGAGCCACGAACGCCATCTGTAACTTGGCTTCTCCCGCTGATTGTCAGAATTGTACTGAGTGTCAGTTTATTGGCTATGTTATTTATTCCAGGAAGGGACATGGTGGCACTGCAGGTTAAACCACAGAAGCCTATGTGTTGCAAGGTCAGAAGACCGGCAGTCGTAAGATTGAATTCATGCCACGGAATGAGCACCCGTCGCTTGTCCCAGCTCCAGCCAACCTAGCAATTCAAAAGCATTTAAATGCGAGTAGATAAATAGGTACCACCTTGGTGGGAAGGTGATGGTGTTCCGTGTCTAGTCACACTGGCCACGTGACCACGGAAACTGTATGGACAAACGCTCACTCTATGGCTTGGAAACGGGGATGAGCACTGTGCTCTAAAGTCAGACACGACTGGACTCAGTGTCTAGGGGAACCTTTACCTTTTACCTAGACTTGGATGGGATGTGGTGGCTCTGCGCGTTAAACCGCAGAAGCCTCTGTGCTGCATGATCAGAAGCCCAGCAGTTGTAAGATCGAATCCACGCAATAGAGTGAGCTCCCATCGCTTGTCCCAGCTCCTGCCAACCTAGCAGTTGAAAGCATGTAAAAATGTGAGTAGATAAATAGTTATCACCACGGGAAAGTAACGGTGTTCCGTGTCTAGTTGTGCTGGCCGCGTGACCATGGAAACTGTCTTTGGACAAATGCTGGCTGTATAGCTTGGAAATGGGGATGAGCACCGCACCCTAGAGTCGGACATGACTGGGCAAATTGTCAAGGGGAACCTGTTTCTTCCATCGCTGTCATAGGAACAGCCATAGGTGAAATTCTGTGAACTATGTTAGATTAAGATTTCATTAACAGAATAAGCTGTTTCAAACCAAAGGCACAATGTTAATCAAATCTGATGGCATTGGATGCCTATTAGGGCATACAGTGCAACCTGTTACAAGTTAAATTTTTATCTGTAGGGTTACAGCGTAAGAAGCCTAAGTGGGATGACATCAAGAAGAAAAAGAAGGAACTGAAGCAGAGCCGACAGCTAAATGACAAAGCCAACTATGATGCAGTGCTTAAGGGAAAGCAGATTTGGGAAACCCTGCGACGGTAATGATGGCTTGGATTCTGTTTTCTGTTGAACAGAATTTTAGACTGGATTTTGCCTAAGAAGTGGGTGAGGGGAGAGCTCATTTCTATTTTGCTCTTTACTATAACATATGTGCAGACATTCTTGTCTCTAGTACTACTGTATGCTATGGAAGATCTGATGATAAAGTTTGTTTATTTTAAAAAATTTTATAACTGAAATAACATGTCAAGTTTTTAGAAGACTGGGTTGTAAATGAAAGGTAAACAATTGCATGCTTTAGTGAAGATCCAGGACAAGGAGGTAACTGGTGAGATGATCCTCCTGAAGTGTTACGCTTTTAACTGGATATTTTGACTGACCGTTGGAAACCCACGTTCATTTCCTTGAAGCTGTTTAGATGTCTATGAGACTGTCCCTAGCCTAAATCCAATTGGTGGTCCCAGCCAGAGTAAATTCATTGAATAAGGTTCTGAGTGGTGAGTTAACACTTACATAAACCCCACAGGTTTAATGAGTCGGCTCTAGTTCAGACTGTTCGAAGTCTTCTATTCAGAGCACGTTACCATAGTCTCTCGAGACTGAAGGATGCCTAATCTAAGCTCAGATTACTAGGTGGATTCTTCAGCTTTTGCACGGAGGTTGCAGGGATAAAATGAGAACTCTCCTCCAGCACCATTTACTGCCATGAGCAAACTCTGTACCACATTTTTTTCTGACATGTCATCTTGATTAAGGCCTTTTTTTGACACTAAATCATCTCCTTAATTTCATTGACATAATAAGCACTTAGGTTGCTATAATTGAAAAGAAGGGTAGGTCACATTATATCTCAAATATGTTTGGCCATGAAGTCTTAACTTGGTGTATCTCTGTGTTTGCCCCCAAATCACAACTAACTCTCTGTGATTATCTTTAATACTGGGAAACAATACGTTATAAAATATTATACTCATTGTGTTACTGGTACACAATGTTCTTGATTAGTTCTGGGCCACACTGTTTTAAATACTAAAGTTATGTTTCAACACAAGATGGCAACAAACATCTGAAGTATGTCAGTTCATTGCAAGTTTTGACTTACTGTTGGATCTGCTTGTTTTGGTAGGAAGGACTGTGACAAAGAAAAGCGTAACAAACTTCTGAGTGAACTGCAGGAGCTACTTCAGGGAAAAATAAAAACTGTAAGAAATATAGCAAAATAAATGAAGATAAAGGGAAATGCCATTATCAAAATGCTGACCTTTGTGTATAAATAGTGGAATGTTTGGTACCTGTTGTGATTTTTTTGGGGGAAGTTATGAACTATGTGCCATCAGATGATTTCAGTAGAATGAATGATATAAAGAATTCTCCTGCCACAACCTATTTGACTGTGGCAGGGAGTCAGTAAAGGATCTTCTGCTAGCAGAGTTTCAGTTTGCATAAGGGTCTCTGCTCCCAATTTTTCACCTATTCCATTCTCCTTCTGGAGCCCTCACCAGCTCAGTGCTTTCTAGAAAGTCTCTGGTTGTGAAATACATATTTTCAAATAACACAAGTGGTTCTCTGGTTCAAATAAATTATTTATATATAATTAGTCCTGATGTTTACCAAAGAAAATTCTGTGGTAAGGGTTCAATGTGAAATGTTACTATATGGCAAATTTACAGTGAGTTTCTGTATAACCTGTACTAATGAATACTTGAAGTGCTAAATATTTGCATGATAAAAAAGTCAATTTCCTCCAGATTAGTTATCTCTTTCCCTTGCTTGGTTGTGCCTTTCTTAAACACCCCATATCATTTGTTTTACTCTCAGAGAGTTATATCTTTATCACTCCAATTTGGTGTAATCTTTGTTTAGAAGTGTTGCAATAGCTAACTATAAAGCTAAGGTGCTAAAATGCACAAAACATAATGCTGCCCTAATGGTTTGGCATAATAGATTCATTTGCCTCCATTAAGACTATGGTACTACATTTTATTTAGCATAATCTTTACATACTGTGCCTTGCATCTGTAGAAGTGGGCTACAGTTGCATATTCTTATGCCAGTTAAAGGTCTGTAGTCTTCAAGGTGCCACAAGACTTTGGTGTTTGTCTCTGCAGATGGCATTCGCTCATGATTCAACCCGTGTCATCCAGTGTTACATCCAGTTTGGCAGCGAGAAGCAGAGACAAGAAGTATTTGAAGAATTAAAAGGTATAAGTCTCAACTACGTAGCCTTTGCATTGAAAGTGCTTCCCTGTTGTTATTATTGCTTCTTAGTGTTTTCTTCTCATCCTGCAGACAGTTTCATTGAACTAAGCAAGTCCAAATATTCGAGAAATATTGTGAAAAAGCTTCTTGTCTATGGGTAGGTACCTTGCTTATCCATGTACTTGATTCTTGTTTTGCTTGCATGGTTTTTCTTGTCTGAGGTTGCCAAATGTCCCCGGCAGAGCCAGTATGTAAAGGATATACAGTGTGCTCCTGATCTGCCACCTGATCTGCCACACCAAAGCACTCTGGGTGGTTTATAATTATAAGTCAAGAAAACCTCTAGTTTCCTTCCTCCTGGTGGCCAGCTCTATTGACACCTACTCCAAAATCTGAAAAATGCGGGGTTGGTTGATATGATGTCTGCATTTCTAATTCTAAAGCAATTCCTCATTGCAGTGACATTAGCTATTGTGGCTCAATCTATAGTGTCAGTTAGACCTGGTTTCTAGGGCTAGGTTGTTTCTATAAACTTCGTTCGTACATGTTTTTTGATGCATCTACTGTTTTTTTTTTTTTTTGTTTTTTTTTTTACTTACTCTGAAGTCCAATTTAATGGAAAACATTGATTACCCCCAACCTCAATGTGTACCCTGGAGAATTCTGGGCAGGGTTGGCACTGAGAAAATGGGGACGAACTGGTAAGCAAAACCACAGCATGTGAGCCACTGATAAGCCAATACTTAAGCCTATAGTTGAGCTTGCTGGTGAGGATTTAGGGTGTGTGTGTGTGTGTATGTGGATATTTAAGATGTTATTAATTAGTCTGCTCTTCCTTTCTTTTGTTCTGCTGTCTGTTGCTGTTTTCTTGCTACTGGAACAGAACAAAGCCACAAATTGCAGAAATAATCAAAAGCTTCAAAGGCGAGGTGAGAAAGATGCTACGTCATGCTGAAGCATCTGCTGTGGTGGAGTATGCATATAATGACAAAGCCGTTTTGGAGCAAAGAAACATGCTGACAGAAGAGCTGTATGGAAATACATTCCAAGTGTACAAGGTGATATACTAACACAGCTTCTTCTGTACAAATAATTGTGTAGCTCTTTTCCCATATTGTTCAGTATCTAAAGGTACCATGAGCTGTGTAGGAGGAGAGGCAAGGCAGGGAGTAGAGGAGAATAAAAGAACATAGTTTCGTATCAGGACCCTTGAAGGAATACCCACATGCATGTGCTCTGTGGTGCTGTGACCTTTTCAACTTGCTTCGCCAGTAGTTTGAGCTCCTTATCTGGAGAGAGAGAGAGAGGCATTTGGCAGCTGTGGGTGGAGAAACATAGTTGTAAAGACTGAGTGGTAAACAAGACAGATTAGGTGGTCTCTGCTTTAAGAATAAATCTCTGGTACCTGTGATAACATCTCCATACCTTCATTAAAGTTGTTATCCGGTACAGCCAGAGGTATAGGTATTTCTGTGTGCAAGTTAATCACTTGAGAATGAACTGGAATTTAAACTTACCATACTTGGCAGGGTGGATAAAATCAATGATTTTTTTCCAAAACATTGATTTACTATATATCACAATTTAAATTTTAAAAAATTATTTTTAAAAAATTTAAATCTGTAAAAAAATCCGATTTTTAATTTAAATCAAATTCACCCTGATACTTTGCCACCAGAGTTCATACTTATTAGGCCTGGGTCCATTTTAAAATGGAGGCCAGTGTTGACGATCTTTGTTTAATTAGTGAAACATCTACTGGCAAAATGGATTTTTGGCCCCTGTGTACTTTCAGATATACAGAATGCAGTTTTAAATTTGCTGTTTCAGTTATTATGAAGAACAATTCTAGGACCCTTTGGAGGCTCACCCTGCCCCCCCCACCAGGCTAGAGGGGGCGAAATTGCCACCTTCTGGGGCTCTTCTGAAGCTTTCCAAACCTCAAAAGAGCCCCAGAAGGTGGTGATTTTGCCCCCTCTGGCCTTCAGGGGGTCTGGGTGAGCCTCCAAAGGGTCCTAGGTTGTGTTCCATAAGACAGACCTCTCCATAAGGCTCACCAATTTTTAGAAGAAGAAAACAGATTTTTTTCCTGTTTTCTTCTCCTAAAAATTTGGTGCGTCTTATGGAGAGGTGCGTCTTATGGAGCGAAAAATACGGTATTTTTCAAAGCTAAAGTATTAAGGAAACATATAACTAATACTGTTACATATGTTTTTACCTCTGTGTTTACTTTGAATTTTCCTATTGATCAAAAATATCAGCCTTAAGGACCTTAAAAGCAATAATTGGTTGATACTCAACTGAGCATCAAGTTAGGAATTTTAGTGTTCGGCAGTCTGAACCTCCGTTCTCCATTCTAGCATCTATTTTTTTTAAAAAAATCTTAATGAAGTTCCTTCAAAAGCTTTGAACCCTGAAATGCTAATGTGCTATTACCTAAATTTTTCTCTCATTATTCTCATGTGTTGTGCCATATTTTTCAAGAGCTGTAGATCATGCCCTGTGGCTATCCTTAATGAGAGACCAATTAGCCAGAGTTTCAGTTTGCACACTAATTAGACACTTTATGTTCCTTTGGAAATGGTAACTGTCAACACAAATTTGAGAAGCATTCATACCTTCCTGTTTTAACCATTTCAAAATTGAGAATGAATAGAGGCTGCCTCAGCTATTTCAGGAAGTCCTGCCAACTGCAGTTGCAAGCTACCCCAAGATTCTAATTATGTTTATGCAGAAGTCAGAGCAGTGTGGCTTCATTAAGTAGAGCCAGATTAAGGATCTTGCTGGAATCACTGGCCTCATGTAAGAGGAGACTCTTTTGTTTTCAGTGAAATGCTAGAACAGCTCCCGTGGTAGCATTCCCAGCATTGCTGTTGAATCAGGAGGCCTTGGTTTAGCAGAAATCCTATGCACATTACAGCTCTCTCGGTTGGACCTGGTCAAGTCACAATGGCAGGTTTAGAAATGTCTGGCTACGGATATAATTGGATAGGTGCTGTGTGCTTAAGGGTGTGGTTTTTTGCACTTTATTTATTTTGTATAGTTCTAATATTAATAGTCAAGGTATGTACTGGATTTCTTATGTTTCAGTCAGATAACGCAACCCTGAATGAAGTGTTAATGGCTCATCCTGACAAGCGGGAGGCTATTATGGATGAAATGAAACAGATCCTCACTCCAATGGCTCAAAAGTAAGAACCAATGGCTTGGCATAAAGTAGTCTCCTGATAGTTTTTACACGTACGGATATACAAATAAATTTGAAATGGTACCATTTAAGCAAGTGGAAGCAAAGTAATTCTTACCCATGGGGGGTTTGTTAAATATCGAAGCGCACTGTGCCCCTTTGTTCAGTTTGTGGGAAGGCATTCTTTGAAAGAGAAGAAGAAAAGGGTCTTTCTCTTGGAGACGGCATATCAGTTAGGGCCTCCTCGCAGCATTTTTCTTTGTCAAGAACTCTTTTGAACAGAAGTTAAAATAGCAGTCCAGAGCTTTTTGCAGATACAACTCTGTGTTACTAGAAGACAATGTTTCATATTATGTAGATGACAATGTATATTTCCTCCCCCCCTTTTTTTTTTCATCTTACAGAGAAGCAGTAATAAAACATTCATTGGTACATAAAGTTTTTTTGGACTTCTTCACCCATGCACTCCCTGAACAGAGATCTGTAAGTATTAGCACACAGACTTTAGTTGCTCCGGGCATTACAATGATCTGTTTTCTTGTTAATGAATCCATTGTAGAGTTGTGAACCAAGTGTTCAATAGCTATCTAGCTTTTTGTGGGTTCTTCAGATAAAAACAGGTCAACTCAGACCAAGAAGCTCTTCAGTTGGGATATCTGATTTGGCTACCGTGACACATGGCTTAGTTGCATTCCGCTTGGATTACTGCGAGGGCCTCTAGGTGGAGATGCCCTTTGAAGACTGAAAACAAACAAAGAAATAATTTTTGCAAAAAACAAAAGTATTTCCCATATGTTCAGCAGGGCTTTGCATGAAATACAAGGTTATTGAGCAAAACCCTGCTGTTGCCACTATTGCTGAAGAAAATGCTGGTCTTTTTTGGACCCAGGCCGTGGTTAATTGTTTTTTGACAGGATACCTCGGCCCATGTAGATGCCATTTTTGTTGAAGGTAATAAGCTATGCAAGTGTTGTTTACATCCTCTGTGGCTATTAATAGATTCTGTACAGGCTTTATTTGTCACCTCAGCAATTGGCAGCATTGCTCTGGTGTTAATCTGAGTGTGGATGCCATCATGCCTCTGTTATTTTTGGTGGGTTACACATGCCAGCCTGCTTTCTGGTGTACTTCAGCAGGCATAAGACAATCTGAAAGCATGCCTAGATTTGACATAGAGAGGCCAGTTGCAGTTATTTAGTTCCTCTTGAACTTGTGTGTTGGACGTTAGTCATTTTTCCTCAGTACTTTGTAATTGTGGAGATGGAGAACAGAACAGAGATAATCTTATACTAATAGTTAACAGATTCATTGGCAAGTTCATTCATTGCTCATGTGCCCTAATTCTACAAATCTGAATATATTTTTTTCAGGCCTGATTTTTAAGTAAAAAATGATTCATGTTACAGAGCTAATCAAAATAATTTCTTTCATACTATTGTGGTCCAGGGTGGGACTCATAACCCCAGTATTTTTTGTAACCTGGGAGCCTCCATGTCAGAACTTTTTTTGAAAGGGAAAATGGGGATTTTCCAGGGGATGCAGTTCTCTTCTTAAATAAGCCACGGGACTTCCACTCACCTTGTTTGAACAGAAAATCTGCCTCCCACCCAAAGGGAGGTATTTGTGCAATTTAAACCATAAATGTTTCAGTATTTGGGCTTATGATCTCACTGCATTGATCAAATAGGGTTCCTTGCAGGGGTGACTCGCTCAATTAAAATATGTATGTGTTGTTTTATATTTTACTATTGAAATGTATTTTATCTGTTTTTAGCTGTTTACTTTGGATCTGTGTGATTTCTATGCTTTTTTATATGGTCAAAATGACTAATCAAATACATAAATACTGAAATTCATAAGTGATTTTCCAGTCTTTTCTAGTTTCATAGGAGAGGGGCTGGTGTGGTCCCAGTTGGATGTAAGGATTGAAAAAATTGAGTTACCCTTATTTCAGACATTTTATTTTATGAATAACCATGAAACAGTTTTCTGCAAATAATACTCTTTCTGTCTAGGAAATGATTGAGGCAATTAGAGAAGCTGTAATCTACTTGGCACATACTCATGATGGAGCTAGAGTAGCCATGCATTGCCTGTGGCATGGGACTACTAAGGTATTGTTTGCATCACTGTCTTGTGTTACTGACTAGTGCAAGTTAATTGTCCAAAATTTGTGTTGCCTTTCTAGAAAGTTGAATTGGAATTTTTTCCTTTACATGGTTATTAGCCACTCAGCTGTGTATTTCTGTGATATAATCAAAGTATGAAAAAAATCAGTCCATTTTGTTATTTAATGTCACAGACGTTTAAGAATATACCAGGCAATATTATGGAGGTTTTTCAAGCTAGCTTTGTGATGGATATCCTATGGTAATTTTCCTTACAATGCCCTGTATAACATGTTGTAGGTGAACTTTTATTTCATTATGTAAATACTTCAGTTTGGAACATTTATGTGAGGTGTTCTGCTGCCAGGGATTTTCCCAGAGCTTTGGAGAGCACATTCAGCTCTGTATTCATCTTCCCGTCATCTGCTTTATGACAGGCTGGCACAACAGAAGACATGTCTGCTGATTGCCACTCCATCCCTTCCTTTCCAGCCCCCAGATATATCTCTGCAGGAAATATTTCAGGCTGTCCCAGTCTATCTAAAGTGGGAGCACAGATGGGGGAACATCTGGGTCCTTCTGTCTGCTTTATCTTTGATCCTTAGGCTATGGAGGTACCTTATGGAATTGGCTCTAGCTTGCATCTCCCAGCTAGTTAGCTGAACTCTATTGGCCATCTTACGTCCAAGCCACTTTTCATCTGTATGAATTGTTCAGAGAGAGACATGTATATTGTTGCAGCCAGGAAGAGTAGAGCAGCAAAGACTGATGACCAGAAGGTTGGGAAGAGGGGGCAAGAAACCTATAAAGTGGAAGAAGCAAAAGAGCTGGAATAGTGACAGGGCCCCAAAGAGACCTTTACTGTTGGTGGAGACTAAAGCAGGGAGAGGCAATGCAGAGTATCAAACCGAACTGGTGAGGAAGGAAGTGACAGTAAGAGAGATGTTGGGGGAAACCAAGGACCACCGATAAAAGGGGAGTGAGAGGGAAGTTAAACTGGGATGAGACATTTCAAGAGACCTGGAAGAGCGGTGAGCCAGAAGAAGGTGCATCCTATGAGGGCGTAGGGAGGAAAGGGAGTTAGCAGCGGTCATGAGAAAGTAAAACAGGTCAGCAACAAATTCTTTTCACTTACCAGTGTAGCAATGCCGTATTAGTTAAACTGGGATGAGACATTTCAAGAGACTTGGAAGAGTGGTAAGCCAGAAGAAGGTGCATCCTATGAGGGTGTAGGGAGGAAAGGGAGTTAGCAGCGGTCCTGAGAAAGTAAAACAGGTCGGCAACAAATTCTTTTCACTTACCAGTGTAGCAATGCGGTATTACTCTGGAATCACTAAAACAGATAAAAACAGTTTCCTGAGTGATTTGTCTTGCACCCTGTTGGGTTCTTTCCAAAGGGATGATACTAGAATCATTGAAAGCTATCCCTTTTCTATACTGCAGAATTTGTGAATTGAAAATAGTTCAGTTAAACAGTGACCTGCAGATTGCTCTCTTCAAGAGCTAGTCTACATGTTGACTTTGATTCAGTCTGTCAGCCAGCTTGTAAGTTGTCAATGAAGGCATTAGATACTTGATACGCAGCTGTGATGGTTGTCAGTGATTTTTTTGGCTCTGTAAGAATCTCTGAAGCCCAAGCAAAAAAATTCATAAATGACTTACATTATTTCATTTTCTTTTATTAGGACAGAAAAGTTATCATCAAAACCATGAAGACATATGTAGAAAAAATTGCTACTGTGAGTAGTTTTAAGTACTGTCTCATAACACAGTGATACACAATCCTATCTTGTGCATGTTTACTCTGCAGTGTGCCCCACTGTGCTCTGTAGGGCTTCCTCCCTGGTAAATTCTGGATTACAGTGTAAGACTGACATTTCCCTTACATCCTAATTTGCACAACGTATGATCTACATGGTGCTGTGGATTCAGAAGTTAACTTTGTGGCCAAAATTATAAAAACCTATATGTATAAGAATGTTTGTGGAAGCTGTTTTTGAGGCCAGTTCTACAGCTAGAGGCCAAACCAGGTGCATGATAGACAACTAGCCAAAATATCTACCAGTGCTTTTGCAGTTTCCCTTCTGCAGTTGCCTACTGCAAGGAGATCCTAACTTTTGTTTAATGCTGAAATTTAGGAAGCGATTTAAACACAGAGAAAACAGTAGAGGAGAGTTATGTAGCTAAGGACCAGAAGGCAGGGGCAGAAGAAAGCACACAGTTCTGTGCTGCTGGCAAACCACGTTAATACATGCTGATAGTTCGTGTTCATGTCTTTGGGTTTCTCTAAAACAGATCTGTCATGGACCGAGTCTTGATTCGTGACTCTGCTAGAGAAATGCTTTGCTTTGCAGAGCACCTTTTTCTTTAGTGTATCTTTTTTGACCAGACTGAACATGAAGCAAGTGTTCTATACAGCCATCTCAAAGTCCACCCCCAAGCAAGCAGTTGTCTCATATTTCAGTGGAGCTCAGTTCCAGAAAGTTTTATGTAAGGTTGCAAGCTTGTGTAAGAGTCTTGTACCTAATTTTGCTTTAAACAAGAATATAATTTACACATCAGGTAACATACAAAAGCTGTCAAGTTCTTTATGCTTCTGTCTTAACTGAAATAAATAGCTACTGTTGGTAATGTATATCTTATAGTCTTCATTGCAGACCAGCTGGTTTGGCTAATAACACTTTTGTGATTTATATTGTTTCTGATATTTCAGGGTGAATTTTCATATTTGGTTTTGCTGGCAGCGTTTGACTGCATTGATGATACCAAACTTGTGAAACAACTGATTATATCTGTAAGTAATAGTTTCCTGAAAGTCTACTTACTATCATAAGACAGAAATTATATCAGAAACTCTGGATCAATTTTCAGACCATGTCATTCTGTCTTTTAAAATGAAAAGAAACATATTTACTAAGTCATTGTGAAGAGCCTTATAAATGTATGCTAAATCAATCAGCTACCTAGTAGATTATTTTCGTGGATTAAAATATGTCTGCAACGGTGATGCTGTTTTTCATCTCCATACTAAAGGAGCGTAATTTGATTCACACTGTTGGAGTCCCACCCAACGTAATGCATTTCATGCCACAGAAGAAGAGAATGTCAGGCTTGCAGGCTTAAACCGACTGATGGAGATTGCCCGGCTAGCTTCACATGTTTGTAAACAGGCTGCACACCCTCTCTGGCCCTGTCATCTCCAGACCCTGGGCCAGGGCTATTTTGAAAGACATCCTGTTGCAGATTTTTCAATTTCTAGTACAGGTCCTTGTGCTGCACAGTAGAAAGACAAAGGAATCACAGAAGAGAACAACTACAAGTTTCCCAGGATGCACCCTTTTCTCATTAACTGGCACTGAAAGTCTCAGTAACTCAGACATTTGTAACAGAAAGTGTAAAATAAGATTTCTGTATTACTTGCTCCTCAAGTGCCATATTTTTTGCTCCATAAGGCGGACCTCTCCATAAGGCTCACCAAATTTTTAGGAGAAGAAAACAGGAAAATAATAGTTTTCTTCTCCAAAAATTTGGTGAGCCTTATGGAGAGGTCCGTCTTATGGAACACACCCTAGGACCCTTTGGAAGCTCACCCTGCCCCCCCGGGGGCCAGAGGGGGCAAAATCGCCACCTTCAGGGACTCTTCTGAAGCTTCCCAGGCCT